GATGTGACCATTGACCAAGTGTGTAATCACTAGAGGGATCTATGGCAGCAAGACACTAGTCTGTAGTCTTGCTTGACAATTTCACAATTTAATTGCCTTTCCCCTACAGTAAATCTGTTGAAAACTCTACTTGCAAACATAGAGTTTATTTGGTTCTCTCCTGTGTCCGAGGATTTTTCTTCAGAAAGGTTGTCCCCTTCCCCCTCCCCACCCAGTTATCTGTCTTTCCCCTCCCCCCAGTGTCTGCACTGCCTAAAGTGTAACCATAGAAATCTTAGTTGTCGAGCAGATGTGTCACGAGCCTCGCGTGAATTGACAACCACATCCTATTTAATTGACATGAAATAACTAACTAATAACTATCAAGAACATTGAAAAAGATCAACGTTTAATAAATAATTTTGACTTATTTTATATTATCTAAATTACAGCACAGTAAAGATTAAAGATATTTAGTCCTATTTGACACTCTACAAATTTGCTCAGCAAACTGAATTGGTTTAATTATTTTTTTCATCAATACGATAATTTGAGGATATTAATTTTGGGATCTGGCTTGTTCTTTTTTAAATCTACATCTTTCTCAAGCAGACAACTCGGAAAATTTTTTACCTCGTCCACCCCTAACAAGCAAGCGAGTATTAATCACTGTTGTCAAGCAATTGTTTGACCGATTCATTAATTGAAAAATTGGAATTTAGTAACTGATTATTGTTTATGGCGGGGGGTGGCACCGAAGAGAAAAGGGTTGGGTAAACAAAATTTTGAGTGAGTAAAAGGTTGGGTAAATGAAAAACAAAACAACTCATGCAAGGGTTGGATAATAAAAAATTATTGTCATTTCCAAAGCATGACTCACTCGAATATTGATGACTAAAAAGCAATTTCAACAGTCACATGTCAATACGATATGTACATCAATCAGAGTCACTGTCTTGGAAATTTTCCGATTTGTCAGAAGGCAAATGGTGTCTCCAAAGAAAGTACATGTGCAGACAACATGAAACTTTAGACTGCAGAAAATTGCACAAGCAGTTATCAAACTCGTGTCACAAAAGTGGTAAAGGATCATAGACGGATTTTCATATTTTTTACTGGGGTGGTGCCAGAAATTTTAGGGGGGGGAGCCGCGAGCAGGTGACTGAAGCAACACAAAGTGTCACCAAACCCCAGTAAGGTCTATATTCTAGGGGTGGAGCACTAGAGCCGCGAGTGGGAGTCTAGAGAGCAGAAAACAAAGTATCCCTGAAAAAAATTGAAAAAAATCATGATTTCTAGCTTCGAAAAAACGTTTTTTAAGTTGCAGGCTTTATGGCATCCTTGTGTAGAAAAGTAGGACTAGAATTTTAGGAAAAGTAGGAATAAAGTAGGAAAATGTGTAGAAAAGTAGGACAAAAGTAGGAGTTTTGGAGATGCAAATAACACAAAAATATACAAAATTGGCCCCCTAGGATATATGTGGTAAGGGGTAGACCATTAGATATCTGATGGGGGAAGTTGTGTGAATTTTTGGTGCTCAATATTTTTATGTACTCATTCATCTATGCAGGATTTTTTTCTCAAAACTTTTAAATTGCATCGGTATAAAAGCTAAGGCATTTGCTCTGCAGCAACACAATTCAAATGCATGTATTGGGCTACACAATGCACCAATCTACACTGCGGTAGAAGCATATATCAGGGCCGTAGGAAGCTCTTTTCGATTGTTGGGGGGGCCTGAAAATGCGCATAGATATGGCTGAATGCGAGGGCCGAAGGCCCGAGGAAATTTTTAAATTTAGAGTCTCTGAAATGCCATTTCCTGGACTTTGGGAAAGATTTGTCAGAATTCTAACGGTCAGAAAACAGCATTTTAGTATGTCAAAATTTACAATTTAGTAGTACTAAATGGGCGAAGGCGTATTTAATTAACTATATATTGGATAAGTTGCAGGAAAGTGTATGGGTAATATCTTCATTCTTTGCAGTTTGTCATGGATTAAATGATAAAGGTCTGCATGATTTTGAAAAAAAATGATTATTAGCAAATTGCTACGGCCCTGTATATATGATGCTTGATTAACTGAGGGGGGAGTTGAATATTTCGAATCTCTAGATCGTCGGAAATGGCACTTTCAGAGTCTTCATTAATTTATTGATTGTGATTCTAGAGATGCTATGAAATTTTATACAAGGAAAATGTACTTCTTTTCTTCCTGAGATCTTATCATGTGAGACACAAATAGCGAATAAAAATTACGAGTCCTATAGATCTAATTACGAGAGCTATAACATACTGATTCCCCAAGCTGTCTTAAAAAAGTAGGATTTTATAAGAAAAAGTAGGAAAATCAAGCAATTTTTAATAAAAAATAGGAAAAGTAGGAAAGTTGAAGAAAAGTAGGAAAAAGTAGGAAAAGTAGGACGGCAAGAAAGCCTGATTAGTTGTCATATCAATGGATTTGGCCTGTCCAATTGTCTGTCGAGACTTGAGAGAGTTAAAGTTAAATGAACCTGTAAAAGTGTAAACCCAATAGGCCAATACACTTTTACTTTTATAAAATCATTGACATTGTGTCGTTTGAATCCGAGTACAATTTATGATGCAACTCCGATGTAAATAATATTTGGGG